ATTGAGAAGCGTCGTACTTGTCTTCGATTGAAACTGCCACCGGTGCCATGATTGATATTGAATCTGTAATTATCAATGCTCTTTTGTGACTAACAATCCACTTACTTGACCAGAGCAAATATCTCCAATATATACTATAAGCCCAAGACGTTCTAGTTACTCCATTTTTTTTTTTTTTTGGGGTTATGTGACAACTGTGGTTCCTCAAAGTGGTCTGATGGTAATGACGATATATCACAAGTTCTATGTACCACAACAAGACAGAAAAAAAAAAAAAATACTGTGGCGTCTCGTCTTTTGCTGCACACAGTATAAAAAATAGATTGCAACACTGCAATCGCAAGTTAAGGAAGCGATAAGTAAACAACAAAATGCATACGTTTCTTCTGAACTCAACGTAGAAAGAAACAAGAAGTTAGACGCGAGATGGAGACTGAATGCATATGCATAAACTGTGTTGGAACTTTAATGGGCTGATTCTGCCAGAAGGTGGAGTAAAGTGGAAGAGAGATGTTAAATGTGTATACAGTACGGAGTAAGCCACAGTGCGGAAGTCTGTCCCTCCTCCTTCCAAAGTATTGCCTCTTTTGGATCTCCGGTCTGGATTCTGTTTACTAATGATAGAATTCTAAATGGAGACTACGAACCGTGAGTGGTAAAAAGGAAAATGTGACGAAGTATCTTCTCCATATTCATCTTTTGCATAAAAGGAAATCATGCACGAAAGATGGAAAATATGTTCAACGTAGTTTGTTCTGGGACGCTAGAAGTATCGTGGAATCACTGAAGCTCCACCATATCATCTAGACACAAGATACAAAGACACCAACATTGGTCTAATTATCTTGCTTTACCATCCTTAAAAATGACATAGAATAAACCCCATATAATCAGTAGAGGTAAACTCATTTTACCTTTAAACCATATGAAGACGCTCCTATGCATTTCAATGAGTATCGTGAAAAGAAGAAGAGGGTGGAAAATTTTTTCTACTCTTTTGTCACATTCTCTTTCTTACAAACAAATCATCTATTCGAAAACGCGCAATTTCATAAAACAGACAGAAAAAATCGACAGATAGAAAGAAGGGGCGGGGGCGGGAACAAATAGAGGATCATAAGTGAGTCAACTACATAAAATATGTCTATATTTGGAGCTATATGTCTGGGAAGACCAATGGTTTTGGCAGAACAAGTTGACCAAACCAAGTTTGTCATCAACGTACCCAACGCATCCAACATATCCTACATCACAATCTTTATTCTTCCCAACTCACCATTTGTTGACGACAATTTTACAGCTTTAGTCTACTTTCAATTACCTCCAGACTCTGGTGCTACTGGCTCTGCATCTACAGGAGGAACACCTGAATTCAAATTGCTTGGTGGCATAAATCCCCGCAAACCATCCGCAATCTACAAAATCAGCAATATCCATCCCACATCCAAAAGACCAGATGATGGGATGGATTTGGAAATGGGGAGCGGAGAACCAATTGATTTGACTGACTCAGTCAGCATCAACATTGGAATCTCCATAGAGCCAACTCCACAAGCTGAACAAATCATTCTACAATCAAAGCAGAGCAGCAATTCCAACAGCAATGCCCTAGTGCCAACTTCAAGGGCACAACATCCCACTACCAATACACCTGATAGCACAGCCAAACTAGCAAATAAGATCGTGGGACACGCCTACAATTACTTGGCCAGTTTTATTGATCCACAGGGCAAAGTGCCGATCAAAGCATTTGATACTTGGTGGGATAAGTTCAAGGCCAAGTTGCAAAACAATCCAAATTTTTTAGACGAGCTTCTGGAATAGGGCTAGCTTGTTTATATACATCCTCCATATATAAAGAAAAGAGATAAATATATTAGATTCTACACGATTTTAGTTGCAAAAAGTCTTTTTCTGAAAATAATAGAAGGCTAAAACACACTTGACGAAAGCAAGAAATGCCTCCTTCTTCTCATACACTGCATAGTATGCAGTAAGCTGAAAGACACGCACACTCGACGAATTGTTCCATATCATTGACAAGCGAAGGTTTTGCGGAAATAAAACCTCCAAAATCGAGATATTGGATCCCTCATAAGACTTGTTCTATTCATTCGCGTCAACTGTGCCGAGTTTCCTAAATTTAAAGGAAAATTGCATTGCCTTAGAGTTGACTCAACCGGGAGCTGTGTTTTGTGCTGCCCTGTATGCAAATTTGCGCTTGCGTCAATGCAAGCTTGCTTAGAGACGAATCTAAGAGGAAAGAATAAAGTGGTTGGTATCATGAAATATTAAATGCAGTTTAAAACAGGTTTCAATGGACGCCGAAATAGATCGTAAATGATGATTATGGGCAACAGTAGTAATGCCTGATACTGTTTCAATAATAACCTCCTCAACCAACTGGGAGGACGTATTGATAAAATTCA